TCACTCAATTATCCAAAAATACAATAAGTACCAAATTCAATAGATTATTAAATGATATAGTCACCATTTTCTTTCCTACTTATTAAATTAATATTATTGCCATTCTTATTCACAAGAATGCATTTTGACTTTATATATTATTATGGAAAAAAGCAACAATCATCACTTGAACCACACTTTACAGCAATTTCCTTTGTCTTTGTATATTATTTCGTATTACTATCCATTTCATATACATACATTTATTCTTTACAAAAGGGTTAGAATGTAAATTAATTATCATTAATAAAACATAATCTTATTCCATATTAATCTGATTTTATCTTTTATGTAACAATCCAGTTTTTATCCAATTTTTACTATTCTATTATTAATATTTATGAATCATGTGAACAAGATATCAGTTTATTTTATTGTTCATTTAAGCATAAGGAACATACACCACTAGTATGATCATTTATGGTTTAAGAACACAACCATTATACCTATTTCGTCCAAAATTTTATTGTATTATCATAATTACCTGAGATAATTAGATCATCATTGTTGTTCACTAATAAACATAATAAATAATTTGTATGTCCATTCAATTTTTATTAACAATTCCATTAATTATTTCCTATCATCTACCATATTATAATTGAACTATCATCACTTCCAGAAACAAAATTATTTGAATTTTTCATGAAATTTAATGTATTTACATAATTTTTATGCTCACTTAACAATTATATTTAATTCAGTTTCCCTTATAAATGTTGAAACACTTTAATATCCTTGTTACATCCAGCTACTAAGATTGAGTAATCTTTATTAAAAGCAATAGCAAAACACCATTCATTTTACTTAATAGAATATTAATTCATAAGGTCAAAAATGAATGGATTTGATTTAAATATAATTCTTTGCTTCGATTATTCTATACTATAGTTTGGAATCTATAAATTATCATTTTACTTTATATTTGGTTGACTCTTTATATTCTTAAGTATTTCATTTATAATCGATTTCGATTATTCGATTGATTATTTAAGTTACTTAAACTTATCTTCGCAATCTCCTATTTAACATAGACCTTTTATTAATTAATCAATCTGTGTTAATCCTAATTCTGGGAATTATTCAATATTAAAATCATTATAATGAAGGAACTAATGTATAAGACCATCAAGGGAAATTTTACATTCTAAAACATTCTTATAAATATTCTTTTTTTGGGCCATCAAACTTTGTTAGGGTATGTTAATAGCTAGGTTATTGCCATCACTTAATTGAATTAATAAGACTATTAAAGAAGCATTATAAGGAGAGAAATTTTGTTCTTATACTTGATATTAGTCGCATTCACAAATCAAAAAAGGTTGCAAAATTACTGAATGCTGTTTAATAGATTTACTTACCACCCTATTCCCCTGAACTTAATCCTATTGAGAAATTATGGAATACTTTTTAACAAAACATAAGAAAGAATTCACGAATAACCAGCGTGAATTTACATAAAATGATTCATTCTCACTTTAATTCCAAAAATAATGATTAATTAAAAAATTATTTATGGTCTGTGTTACCTTTTTTTAAAGAAATTATTGGATAATATTGACTTTTGATTAAATTATTAAAAAGAAGTTATTATATATATAGCTTAAGATAGTTTCTTTCTCTGCCCTAAGTGACCCACAAATCTTTCAACAAAAATAATTTTTTCAATTTAGACCTGTAATATTAAAATATAAAGGTATGAAATTTTAAATTTATAAACTATATATTTCAAAACTTATCAAAAAACAGAATCTTCTAAATTAAATTAGTAACGAAAATTTAATAGAGATATTTTATAAAATTTGAAGTTATGTCTTGTATCAAATTTCTGATTAATAAATTGAAATTTTTTTGATATTATTTTTCAAATATCATACAGCATTATATCTAAAAATTAAAACTATATTTTTTAAACTATCAAAGTATGTATGAAGACATTTAATCAAAATTTAATAGATTTTTCATTTAAAATCTGCTTAGTATGAATAAAGATTGATAAAAACATATAAATTTATCTTATTTTAACTTAGGTAATTTATTCTTTAGTATTACTTTAATGTATCTTTTGACAATATTAAGACCTAAAGAGCAATACACTATAATTTATATTTAATTTAATTTTAGTTTATTATTAAAATTGTGCTGCTAATAGTTTTTTATTTAATTAGAATTTTAAGTATCAATAATGATACTCTCTTTTCATTTTTATTTGCTGAAGATTAAATATTATCATCGTCAATTTCAAATTGAAGACCTTGTTCCTCTTATGAAGTTAAACAATAACTTGATTCAATATCTTAATATGACAGATTAATTCTTCAATTGATTATTATGATACTTCTATTATAAATATTAAATTTAAATTGTACAATTAAAAGAGGCTTTTGATTCATTGAATTTTTATTTGAAAACATGTAACAGTTAGAAATTATTAATTTTATACATTATAATTGAAAAAACATTAATTGCATTAATTTTATGATTGTTCTAATTTATATTCAAGTTTATATTAAAACATTAGTATATTATCAGATGTACATGCCAGGTTTTCAATTATAAAAATTGTAGTTTTACAAACGTTATGTGTGATAATAAATCAATTATTTAGATGAAGAATTATAGATTCTTATTAATTAAATTGATAGGCCTAAAGATGAAATGGAGATTGTAAAATGATATTACATCCTTAATTATTGCATAAATTCTGTCAAAAAAAGATTATATTAAGAAAAAGAAAATAATAAATTGAAAACTTAAAAACCTAAATAACTATCAGTTTTAAGTATTAATATTA